CATTTGTGTATTATGATCCAAAAGAATTAGAGAAGAATATAGAGCATGAAAGAAAAGGTCTAAGATTAAATAAATTTAAGCAAATTAGCTCAGGAAAAAAATAATTTAGGGAGCAGAGGAGAACTTGGAAAAGCAACAGCAATAACAACAACAAACTCACCATCCTTAGAGATATTCAAGAGGAGATTGCACTAATAAAATAAGAGAACTATAAAAAATGAAAAATCAGTGACTAGGAAGCCAGGTATCATGGTACACCCCTGGAATTTCAGTGCTTGGGAGGCCAAGGCCAGAGGATTGTCAAATCCAAGGCCACCCTGGACTACACAGTGAGTTTAAGGTCTCCCTAAACTACATAACAAAATCTTGTCTGAAAAAAACAATGATGAGGAATGAATTCTTGGAAATAATAAAAGAATAATGAATATCCTGCAGGCCAACTTCATGTTCTAGAAAATAAAATCCTAGAATGTAGATAAATAAGATAAAAAAATATATGAAAAAGGCTGAAGCATACAGGATAGATCCAGGAAATTCAAGTTCCCAATTATGATTTCCCTGAGTGAAAGAAAGCCAATTGTCTTAGGTTACAAAGACTCAAGTAAGTTACACAAAATTAGAAATCAAATGAAAAACTAAGTACCCTTGCCTACATATGCATTGGTAAGATTTTAGAACTCAAACAAAAAAGAGAATATCTTAAAAGATTCAGGAAAGAAACCCATTCAGAAAAAAAACCCCACATACATTGGTATCATACTTCTCATTATGCTAAGAGACAGTAGAACACCATTTTAAAGTTTGAGGGAAAATTATTTTTAAGCTGAACTTACACAGTCTATTGACTGGTAAGTAAGGGAGGGAAATATAGAAATATTTGTAGAACTAGGGAGCTTGTTATCCCTGAATCTTTATAAAATTACTTGAGGAAAATGAAAATACAAATAAGATGACACAATGAGTTATAAAAGTGACAAAGAAAGAAATTTTTGGAAAATAATGTCATAGTTCATAAAATTATTGCTATTTAATAGAAAAGTAAAACCATACATTGTTGACAAGATTGTCTCAGATTGAGAAAGTGGGTAGGAAGAACTTTTACTCTGTATTTTATACTCTTTTGAATTATCTACACTTATTTTTGTTTTGATTATAAATTACTTAAAATCCAAAATTTGAACTTTTAAAAGGCATACTCTAGGGCCAGCCAGATAGCTCAGCAGATTAAAGCACTTGCTTAGGCAGAGCACAGAGGCTGAGGTCCGATCCCCAGCATGCCATGCTGGCCCCATCCAGGACTGAGAGTGGGCATGGTGGCACGTGCCTATAATCCCAGAGCTTGGGAGGCTGAAAACAAAAGAATCACTATGAGTCCGATCTGTGTAGTGAGACCCTGTAGACCCTATAGACCCTGTCCTAAATACATTTAAAAAAATAAAATAAAATAAAAGGCATACTCTCAAAAATCCAGAAACATTTATTTTCTAAGTACATTATCAAATTCCTTTTTAAAACATTTAATAAGAAGACATATTAGTCCATTTAGTTTAAGATAGGCTGGAGAGATAGAGCTGGCAAGCACAAGGTCCTGAGTTCAACCCTCCATAAACTGCCCCCCCAAAAAAAGATGATTAAAAAAAATCTGCACTGCTTCTGTTCAGACAAGTTCAAAATAAAACATTGAAGAAAAATTTCATCACTAGCCACACCACAAAATAACAAGGAATCATAATAAAGATAATTTTTATTTCTTTGCAACAGCATCAAAATGGATTTTATAAATGCCAATGAATACATTCTCCTGCTTTGAAAAAAAATCACCTTTTGACAGTATGTCATCTGAAATACTAGTCACGAGCACATGTGGTTAATGAGACTTGAAGAGTGACCACTGCAGATGGAGAGGGGCTGGGAGGGCAAAACGCACAACAGATTATAAATAGAGTATGAAAGACCCATTAAATATTAACATTTAAAAATATTAATTGGGCATTGACATTGCATTTTAGTTATTTTTGATTAAATATGATTTCAGTGCTAGAATTAATTTAATCTTTTAAAAATATGGCTATTACTACATTAAGAATCATATATCTGGCTTCTATTTGCAGAATAATGGAAGGCTACCTTCTGTTTCTATTAGACAGGCCTGATGTAGATGCTAAAATGTTGCATCTATTGGACAAATAGCTTGCATAAAAGAGTTTCTGGAGAGTTTCTTGTTTGCTTTGTTCTTTTTTTTTTTTTTTTTCTCTTCAGAAAGGGTCTTGCTATGTAACTCAGACTGGCCTGGAACTCACTATGCACCCCAGCTCCATTGAACTCATGGCCATCCTTGGGTGTTGGCCTCCAGAGTGCTGGGATTGCAGGTGTGCACCATCACACGTGGCCTCTGATAAGAGGTTTTAAGAAGAACACAGTTAACACTTTAGCTTTCATTTACCAAGAAACTTTCATAGCTATGAAGAAAGAATGAGTGTTGATAATATTAGAGCAAAACGGGAAAAGAACAGGAAGTTGGGGGCTATGAGATAAGATCAAATTCAAGGAGAAGAAATGCCAGGCCTAATGTGAAGAGCTGTTGGTCAAATGACTTCCAGTTAAATATCTGACTCTAGTACTTGCATTCTTTGAAAGTACTAATTGTCCTTCTTATAGTGATATTCTCTTAGTATTTACTTTATGCTATACTACCCTAGTTTGGGATAGTCTATGCATAATCTTCCATAATATATA